GTGGGTTCGCGGTCACGGCGTACTCGTGGCCACGCCTAGTAGACCCTAAACCCTAAACCCTAAACCCTCGGGGAGGGGCCGGCGGCGGCAGCCGCCACCGTGGGCGCCTCGGCGCGGCGCCGGGGCGCGGAGCTCGGCGTCGCGCTGCGCCGCTGCCGTGCGCGCGGCAGCTGCGCAGCTACAGTGGGCGGCGAGGCGGCCGCTGCGGCGGCGGGCCGGCTGGCGGCGGCGCACGGCGGGCGCAGCGGCGGAGCGGGGCGGAGAGGCTCCACGTCTTCGTCGCGGCACCCGGGGAGTTCGGAGGGGGCGGCGTGCGCGTGTGTCGACCTCCTTTGCTGTCGCAGGAGGCTGTAGGCTGAAAGTGAGTCAGCGCCTGCACACAGACACTGCTCGACCTCCGCAAATGCGGAAAAGCGGTACAGGGTACAAGAGCTGCCCCTTGGCGTCGGACGACTCGCGGCCCAACCGAACCGACATGGTGCACTGGTGGCACGAGGCCACCCTGTCGGCACGATTGGCATTGCGCACTGGGGCCTGCCCAAAGGCCCCAGCCGTGAGTGGACACAAAGCCCGATCGGATTTACGTGGCACATGCCACCACCTCTCACGGAAAACGCAAATCCCTGAGGGCCAGACCACATGGGAATAGCCACCCAGGCGCCTGGCTAATGCCGCCGCCAGCAGGGCAATGCTGAGACCGAAGGCCGTGCTACACCCAACGACGAGGCCGCGCGCAGCGCAAACCCCGCCGATACAGGTTTCGCAACGTCCACCCCCAGGCCCAGTTCCCGCTGCATCCGAGGAGGAGGAGGACGACGAGGACGAGGAGGAGGAGGAGGAGAAGGAGGAGGAGGAGGAGGAGTAGGAGGAGGAGGAGGAGGAGGAGGAGGACGAGCACCAGAAACATAAGGAGAAGTTCGTATGAGGAGGCTGAGGGGGACGAGGAAGAGTGATATGATCAGATAGAGGAGGAGGGGGATGAGGAGGAGGAGGAGGAGGAGGAGGAGGAGGAGGAGGAGGAGGAAGAAGAAAAGGAGGAGGAGGAGGAGGAGGAGGAGGAGGATAAAGACAAGGAGGGGAACGATGAGGAGGAGGAGGGAGGACAGGATGAGGAGGATGATGACGAGGAGGGGGGTGCGGATGAAGAGGAACGGGAGGAATAGAAAAGTGGGATGAGAAGGAGGAAGTGTAGTGGAAGTGGGAGGGCGAGGACGAGAAGGACAATTACGCGGATGCTGGGGAGGAGGACGGCGACGGCGATCACGAAAAGCTAGACGACAACGCCGAAGGCGCAGGCGGATCAGAAGCAGGAGACCGCGCGAACATTCTTAGTTGCCACCCTGGCTCAAAAAGCGTTGGTTGGGGATACTGGACCCTGGTTATCGTATTAAGTGAGACAAGAAGCCTTGCAAGGGCGACGGTGCAGTAGCCTCGGCGAAGAAACCGACGGGACGCGTCGCCCCGAAGCGTTGAGGCTGGAGACGGAGCACATCCAACCCGCATCCACCACACCCCGCTCTCCAAAGACCCCCACCACGTCAAGCAGCTTGCCCGGCATCGACTCAAGTCGTCCACTGATGGCTCGAACCAGACAAACTAACAGGCAAGCTCATACAGGAACATCCGCCGTGGCTTGGGCATTCGGCCACTTGGAAGGGGGACGGGAGGGAGGGAGGATGTATGCATTCAGCGAGAGAGAGAGAGAGAGACAGAGAACAAAAAAGGACGAGGATGGCATGCAGACCTACCACCTTCGGCACGTGTTTCCTTTTCCCTACGCGACGTGGCCGAGAAATGGCACCTGCTCGACAGAGAGGGGGGAGGAGGGAGGGGGGAGGCAGAAGGGGAGTGAGGAGAGGAGGAGGAGGAGGAGGAGGAGGAGAAGGAAGGAGAGGAGGGAGGAGAGGAGGAGGAGTAGGAGAGAGGAGGAGGAGAGGATGGGGGAGGGATGAGTGCAGAGAGGAGGAGTGCGGACGTGTGGTACCGAGGGGGAGGAGGAGGAGGAGGAGAGAGGAGGAGGAGGAGGAGGAGGAGGAGGAGGAGGAAGGAGAGGAGGAGGATGAGGAGGGGGAGGAGGAGGAGGAGGAGGAGAGAGGAGGAGGAGAGGGAGAGGGAGTGAGGAGGAGGAGGAGGAGTGAGGAGGAGAGGGAATGAGGAGGAGGAGGAGGAATGAGGAGGAGGAGGAGGAGGAGGAGGGGGAGGAGGAGGGGTGAGGAGGAAGAGCGCACACCGAAGAAGCCCTGGCATGGGGATGGTTTTGGGGTGGACAGACCTACCCCGACACGTCGACTGAGGAATTGGCCGTTTTCGGTCCGCGAGAGGGCGTCGCGGCCGTCTTTTTCGCGGGTCCGGGTCCGTCGGTTTCGGTCCCAGGCCGTTGTCACGAAGGGGAGGTATACGAAAGGGAGGCTTGTCCACCGCCGAATGGTGCGCACAGGAGAGCCCTCGCGGGGGGGTCGCCTCACGGGGAAGGGCGCGCTCTTCGGTAGTCGATGTCGCACGCTATCCTTCCAGGCGTAAACGCTCGGAGCTCCGCGCGGACTTCTCGGATCGGCGCCAGGCCCCCTCGGCCGGCGCCGCCAGCGCCACCCCCGGCGCGCTTCGCACGCCAGGGAGGGGAGCCCAGAGCCGAACCGTGAAATCCGCGCGAATCTCCGAAAGGCTAGATTTATGGAGTTGTTTCTTCCCCTATTAAAATCCGCACCTGGGATACTTCGCGCCCAACCCGGAAACCAGGGACGCCCGCCAACCCGAAACGCCCGCGCCGCACCCTGGAAGCACCGAGCGAGACCCTGGAAAGGCCAGCGCCGTGAACAAGACAGCTGCGGCTGCAGAGTGGGCGTTGGTTTCTTATCTGTGGCGTCTTCGTTTTAGAGGTTGGTGCGGTTTCAAGGGAGGGTGCTGCGTGTTCTGGACATGGCACGGCGCCCACGGGATAGAGTGAGGGTGCTAGGGTTTTCAGTGCTAGGGTGTTAGGGCTCAGGGTAGTGATGTCAGGATGTTTCGGCTAGGGTTCGGATGTTAGGTTTAGGGTCAATGTTCAGGGGAATGGTGTCAATGTTTGGGATAGGGTGTTGGGGTCGGCTTGTTAGTGTTAAGATGAGGTTGTCAAAGAGGGGGTTAGGTGCCGTGATTAGGGTTGGTGCTTACGATTGGGGTGTTAGGGTTCGGGTATTCGGATTAGTGCTACGGTTCATCGTCGTCTGATTCCGTATGTGTTTGCTGTTTATGTTCTTCGCCCTCCTCATCCTCATCCTCCTCCCTGGCGTCGTCGCGTCGTCGCCGTCGCCGTCGTCGTCCTCGTCGTTCTCGTCGTTCTCGTCGTTCTCGTCGTCGCCGTTCTCGTCGTCGTTTTCGTCATCGTCGTCGCCGCAGTCGTCTTAGTATTCGTCATCGTCGGCCTTGTCGTCGTCTTTGTCGTCCTGGTCGTCGTCGTCGCCGTCGTGGTCGTCGTCATCGTCTTGGTTGTTGCCGCTGTCCTTGTTGTATTCGTTGTATTCGTTGTTCTCGTCGTTGCTGTCGTCGAGTCGGCGTCGTCGTCGTTGTCGTCGTCGTTGTCGTCGTCGTCGTCGTTGTCGTCGTCGTCGCCGCAGTCGTCGTATTCGCCGTCGTCGTCGTCCTCCTCCGTCCTCGTCGTCGTTGTAGTCCTCCTCCTCGCCGTTCTCGTCGTTCTCGTCGTTGTCGCCGTCGCCGTTCTCGTCGTCGTTTTCGTCATCGTCGTCGTTGCTGTCGTCGTCGTTGTCCTGGTTTTCGTCGTCTTCGCCGTCGTCGTCGTCGTCGTCGTCGTCGTCGTTGCAGTCATCTTAGTATTCGTCATCGTCGGCCTCGTCGTTGTCTTTGTCGTCCTCGTGGTCGTGGTCGTTGCCGTCGTGGTGCTGTCCTTGTTGCATTCGTTGTATTCGTTGTTCTCGTTGTTGCTGTCATAGTTGTTGGCGTCAACGTCGTCGTCGCCGCAGTCGTCGTATTCGCCGTCGTCGTCATCGTCCTCCGTCCTCGTCGTCCTCCTCCTCCTCGTCGTCGCTGGTCTCGTAATCGTCGTCATGCTCGTCGTCGTGTCGTCGAAAAGTGCTCGTCGTCGTCGTCGTCGTCGTCGTCCTCGCCGTCGCCGCGCGCGGGCGGCCGTGCGCGCGGGCCGGCGGGCGGCGAGCGGGCGGGGGGACGGGCGCGCGGGCGAGCGGGTGGGCCGGGCGGGCCGGGCGGCCGGCGGGCAAGCCGAGCGAGCGGGCGCGCGCACCAGCAGGCGGCCGCGTCGGCGGGCGGCTGGGCGGGCGCGCGAGCGCGGGCGGGCGGGCGGAGGCGCGCGGGCAGGGCGGGCGGGCGGAAAGGGCGGGCGGGCGCGCGGGCAGGAGCGCGGGCTGGTGCGCGGGCTGGTGCGCGGGCAGGAGCGCGGGCTGGAGCGCGGGCCGGTGCGCGGGCGAGCGGGCAGGAGCGCGGGGGGGGGCCAGTCATCGCCAGTGTGGTCGAGGTGCTTCGCCCCGCCAGGACCGCCACAGCGGGCGCCATCCCAGATCGCCCAGTCGTTTTGGTTTCTGGGCTCTTCAGATCGAAGGTTTTCGATTTCTGAGCTTGCGGGGGATGGTGGGCTTTTCGTTTTTGTCAGCACGGGCTCAGACGCGGCTGTCGGTTCGATCAACGTCGGTGCAAAGTAAAAAAGTGGGGGAGGAGAGGCAGAAGGGGGAGGACGAGGGGAAGGGAGGAGGAGGAGGATCAAGCAGTGGCGAAGCAACACATCAGGTCTACTTATTAGGACATGTCTGGGTTCTAAGAACATGTCGTGGTAGGCCTACAGAAATGCCAGGACGGTCGGTCCCTGCTCAAGAGGAGGAGGAGGAGGAGAAGGAGGAGGGGGAGGAGGAGGAGGAGGAGGAGGAGGAGGAGGAGGAGGAGGAGGAGGAGGAGGAGGAGGAGGAGCAGGGGAAGAGGCTGCGTACTCATCGGCCTTCAGTCAGGAGCGAGCGAGCGAGCGAGCGAGGAGGAGGGGGAGGGGGACACAAACATTCAGCGTCGAAGAGAAAGCAGCGCTGGACATTTACCAGCGCCCATTTCTCCCGCTGCACCAGCCGAAGGGCAACAGCGGGCGTCGACGCCGATCGAGTTCTCCCCGCCGCCGTGCCCCACAGGCACCGAGTGTCCTCAACAAGGCAAGACCGTGGATTTTCGCAGTGTTCGGCCTCCAGAGGCCCTCGCTGGGCCTGCGAGCTCCTCTTCCTCCTCCTTCTCCGCCTCCTCCTCATGCCCCTCTACTTCTTGCTCTGCGGCCGCGTGCGAGGCACCGCGGTGTCCGAGTACGGCCAACGGCGCGGGCGCGCCCAAGCGGCCAAGGAACGGACGACTCGGGGCGAGAGAGGGTCGGGACATCTGCGAACCCGCGTTGAACAAATCGAGGCATCGCATGGTATGAGGCGTCCGGAGCTTTGCAAAGGAGTGGGGGGAGGAGCCCCCGAAGGCAGTGGGAGCCTTCAGGGACTTGGAGCCGTTGCCGGGCGTCTGGAGAGGAAGGGGGAGGCAATGTGGGAGGAGGAGGCAGGAGGGAGGAGGGAGGAGGGAGGAAGGGAGGGAGGAGGGAGGAGGGAGGAGGCAGGAGGGAGGGAGGGAGGGAGGGAGGGATGGGCGTGGAGAGGCAAGATGGAGGCGTGCCGACGCCGGGGCGGAGCGTAGGAAGACAGCGACTGGCAGCAGGTCCTGCCCGTTTTTGAGCAGGGCCCTTCGATCTTGGCTCCGCGGCGGGCCGTCGCCCGCTGGTGACAAACACCGTCTGCTCGAGGGCGGTCGTTGTCTCGGCGGCGAGCCCAGGAAGGAAAGCAGGAGGGGGCGGGCTTTCCCAGACGGCTCGGAATGAAGGGGCCCTGGGGGACACACAAAGAGAGACACACAGATAGAAGGCTTCCCCCTATGTCCCCATATGTTCTGGGTTTCTGTCTCCCCTCCCACTTCCCATATTTCCCCATATGTTCCTGGGAATCGACGATGAATTGTGTCTGTGTGTTTTTCCCCTCCTGACAGAAGGCCTCCAGCCTTCTGAGCATCTTTCTCGGCCTTCTCCGAAGGCGCAGACGGCTTCTCAGAAGGCCGCAGGGCTCCTGAGAAGCCCCGACGCCTGTCAGAGGGCCCGCCCCCTCTCACGTCTCCCCTGGTCTCGCCACCGATTGTCAGCTGAGGGCAGCGTTTGCTGCTCGCCGTCTTCCCGGTAAGCAGTGCCCACGGGCGTGCCGAGAAGAGGGGGGCGATCGTACATTTCCGTTTTTTATACTGTTGGGCCCGTGTGTCACCACAGCGCCGCCAAAATGTTGATCGCTCTCGCTGTGTATCTCACGTTGCCCCCGTCACTCTATACAGTTTCCTGCCTCTCTCCTCTGCCCATCCTCGCGTCTACCGTCCCCTCGATGCCGCGCCCTCTCCACTGTCTCCCCTCCCATCTTTCCCTCCCTCCCTCCCTCCCTCCCTCTTGCCGCACTCCTACATTTTCCTCTTCCTTCTCCTGCTCCCTTCCCGATGTTGTTTCTCCTCGTCGTCCCCAACCCGCCTGCCCTGCCTATTCCTTCTGATCAGTCATCACACTCACGTGCCGTCCCAATATCCCAACTTTCCCACTGTCCTGCTCCCTCGTTAATCGTGCCGCCAGCTACCCCCCAGATTCCTCTTCCTTCTGCTCGTCCTTCTTCTCCTCCTTATCCTACTCCTCCTCCTCCTCCGCATCCTCCTCCTATTCCACCTCCTCCTTCTGCACTTGCTGTCGCTGATCCTATTCCTTTCCAGCCGTCCTCTCTTCAGTGGTTGCTCAAGAGGCTTACGCCATTCCGAAGGCCCCAGTGGCAGGAATCGCATGCGTGATCGCGCCCAGTTCGGCACACCACTCATACGCGTCGTGGCTCCATAAAGGGCCCCACCGAAGGCCCAAGTGGCATGACTCGTGCACGTGACCGCGCCCACTTCGCGGCCCCATAGGGAGCTCCACCGAATGCCCCGCCGCACGCTGCCGCCCCGGGCCGCGCCGACAGCCGCGCAGAGCAGCCGCGACGCGTTACATCCAGATGTAACCCGTCACGGCCGACCTCTGCGACCCCACCAGCAACGCCGCTCCGTCCCTCCCACGCCGGCCTCGATCCTCTGGCCAGCCCCTTTCTCGAGGAGGAGGAGGAGGAGGAGGAGGAGGAGGAGGCTTTGTTCCCACCTGTCTTGCCGCACTGCATTCGGTTGGGTCCCCCGCCGTGCTCATTCGTCGACGGCATGGAGGCCTAGGGGCCCCCAGCAGTGACAGCAATGGCTCTCGCTGCAAGCCTAGCTTACTTACGAGGAACCCGCTGTGCGCCTGTCTTGACCCTGAAGCAACGTGTGGCCACGAACTTTGCCGCGGGGTCCTGCACCTTGGTCCCCATGGAGATCAGCAAGTCCAGCGCCTCCTTGGCCTCCTGCGGGTTCAGGCCCTGCTCCGCTGCCGCCAGCACCTGCTCTCCGTTGCTCACCGCCGCCTCGCTGATGCGGAAGATCACCGCCTTCGCCAGCGCGTCGGGCCTCTTCCCGAGCGGGTTGCCCATGTACGTGGAGTCCTCCTCTTTGGACTTCTCCTTGGCTTTGCAGCCCTCGTCGCCGTAGTGCGTCAGCGCCTGATCCAGCGCCATCTCCAACTTGCTCTGCGGCTTGAGCGGCATCACGAAGTTGTCGTCTCTGTGGCTCGCCCTCGCCAAGTCCTCGTGCTGTAGTGCCAGGCGCGCGAGCGCCTTGCCGAGCGGGCCCACGATGTCGCCCGCGGCCTCGTCCTCGCCCCCGCCGATCGTGTCCGCTGCCGATCTCTTCTGGCCGCTGCTCGGCGCCAGCTGGACCTCGTTGATCGGCTTGAGCATCGCCTTGCCCGACGGGCGCAGCCAGCACAGGAAGGGCTTGGCGCGGGGCTGCTGCCTGATCACTTTGAGCCTCAACGCCGATGGGGTACGCTGGGCATCGGCCGTGTCTGATATGTCTCACCAGCGTGTCTTTTCTCGTGACATGGTTCGCACAGTGTGGGCATCGTTTCTGTCGTAGGTCGTCATCGGAAAGAATCACCGCAGTCGGATTCGCAGAGACTGATTGAGCCACCGACTTGTGATTCGCAAGCCCCTTCTCCCCATTGCATTTTTTCCCACGCACATCACAGTCCATCCAAACACCGGCTGTAGGCTCCGCTGTTGAGGCCGAATCGCCGGAAGTAAGCACACTGCGAAAGCATTTCGGTTCCTGTGAAGCCAGCCACTTCAACGAAGGCTCAGCAAGCTCGGGTAGGTCGCCACGATGAAGAAACAGGCGACGCGCCCCAAGATGTTCGTGAGCTGCCCCGGACAGCCATAGGCGCTGCATGTCCCCTTTCAGAAGGGCCAGCATGCCCGAGGGTTCCTTCGGGGTCGCGCTCTCAAAGGAGAAGCGGCCGAAGATAGCAGCACGGACCGCCAAGGTCGCGTCGTACAGGTCCGCGTCTGGTTCTCGAAATACGGGCCACAGCACTTGGCGCCACCACTTCATGCGCCTCCAAATTGCTCTCCGCTGTGGGGACTGGCAGCCCTTCTGTTCTCGAGGTTAGTCTTCTTGAGAAGGTGCGCTGGTGACTGTAGTAGCCCTCGGAGCTCGCGTACTTGCCAGGCTTCGAGACGAGCCAGTTCACGCTTAGAAAGAGGAGCGACTTCAAGCCAGTATAAGCCCACCGAGCGGACCAGCGACTTCCAGAGCCTGATCCTCAGTTTGAGGCTAAAACCTCCACGAAAAGCTCTGCGCTGCAGCCGAGAGTGGGCCGAGCTCGCCGCTTGGATCCTGTGGGTCACCTCGAGCTGGTAGCTTCCAGTGGCTGCCAACTGGGCACCGAGGTACTTCGCTGCAGGCTGCGGATGGAGGGAAAGCAATCGTCGTCGCGCCACGTGACAATACCAGTGGTGCGAGCCCTGATGCGCATTAGCCGCTTCTTACTGCCCACCCCCGATGGTATCATTTATCCTGGCAAAGCCACCTAACAGCGATGTGTACAAGCATATCTGGAAGCATTCCCTTTAAGATTCAGGTGAGAACCCAGTCGTAGAATTCTGCTGTTCTCGCAGTCGCAGTCGCATTCGCAATGACTGTCGCAGTGGCAACGGCCTTAGGATCCAATGGGATCATAAGGATTCCTATGGACTCCTAAGGCATCCTTAGGCATCCTTAGGAATCCATCGGAATCCTTAGGAAACCCTCGGAATCCTTAGGAATCCTGATTCCTAGGGATTCCTAAGGATTCTTGAGGAATCTTAATTCCTCAGGAATCCTGAGGATGCTTAACTATGCCTACGGATTCCTAAGGATGCCTCCGGATTCCTAGGGTTCCTAGGGATTCCTTAGGATTCCTATGGATTCCTACGGATGCCTCAGCCTGCCCCAGTTTCAGCCTCAGCCTCAGCCTGCCTCGGCTTGCCTCAGCCTCAGCCTCAGCTTGCCTCAGCTTGCCTCGGCTTCAGCCTCAGCCTGCCTCAGCCTCAGCCTCAGCCTGCCCCAGCCTCAGCCTGCGCCAGCCTCAGCCTCAGCCTGTCTCAGCCTAAGCCTGCCTCAGCCTCAGCCTCAGCCTCAGCCTCAGCCTCAGCCTGCCTCGGCTTGCCTCAGCATCAGCCTCAGCCTGCCTCGGCCTCAGCCTGCCTCGGCCTCAGCCTGCCTCAGCCTCTCCTCCTCCCCCCCTTCCCCCCCCCCATTCAGCCTCACCTTGTCTCAGCTTCGGCCTGCCTCGGCCTCATCCTCAGCCTCAGTCTCAGCCTCAGCCTGTCTCGGCCTGAGCCTGCCTCGGCCTCAGCCTTAGCCTGCCTCAGACTCAGCCTGCCTCAGCCTCAGCCTGTCTCAGCCTCAGCCTGCCTCAGCATCAGCCTCAGCCTCAGCCTCAGCCTGCCTCGGCTTGCTTCAGCCTCAGCCTCAGTCTGCCTCACCTCAGCCTCAGGCCTCAGCCTCAGCCTCAGCCGCCTCAGCCTGCCTCAGCCTCAGCCTCAGCCTCAGCCTCAGCCTCAGCCTGCCTCAGCTCAGCCTCAGCCTCAGCCTGCCTGCCTCGGCCTCAGCCTCAGCCTCCTCAGCCTCAGCCTGCAAGCCTCAGCCTCAGCCTCAGCCTGCCTCAGCCAGCCTGCAGCCTCAGCCTCACCTCCTCAGCCCCAGCCTCAGCCTAATCCTCAGCCTCAGCGCCTCAGCCTCAGCCTGCAGCCTCAGCCTCAGCCTCAGCCTCAGCCTGCCTCAACCTCAGCCTCAGCCTGCCTCGGCCTCAGCCTGCCTCGGCCTCAGCCTGCCTCAGCTCGGGCATTCAAAATATGGCACATGATTGGTGTTCTGGGAACACGAAGAGCACGAAGTGGCCCGCAGCTGGCTCTGGGCA